ACAACAACAACAAAAAACTGATCTCACAGAAGTAGAAAGTAGAACAGTGGTCACCAGAGGCAGGAAAGGGTGAGGGTGTGGGGGCTGGGTGTGGAGGGGAATAGGGAGGGACTGGTTAATGGGTACAAAATTATAGTTAGGTAGAATAAGTTATAGTATCCTATAGAACAACAGGGTGACTACAGTGAATAAAACTTTATTATACATTTCAGGCCGGACGCAGTGGCTCACGCTTGTATTCCAAGCACTTTGGGCAGCTGAGGTGGGCGGAACACCTGAGGTCAGGAGTTCGAGACCAGCCCAACCAACATGGTGAAACCCCATTTCTACTAAAAATATAATAATTAGCCGGGCATGGTGGTGCACACCTGTAATTCCAGGTACTCAGGAGGCTGAGGCAGGAGAATCACTTGAACTTGAGAGGCGGAGGTTGCAGTGAGCCAAGATCGCACCACTGCACTCCAGCCTGGGCAACAGTGCTAGACTCCATCTCCGGGAAAAAAAAAAAAAAAAATTATTGTGTATTTCAAAATAGCCAGAAGAAAGAATTTTGACTGTTTCCAACAAAAAGGATAAGTGTTTCAAGTGATGAATATGCCAATTACCCTGATTTGATCATTACACATTATGTGTCAAAATATCACACTGTCCCCCATAAATATGTACAATTATTATGTGTCAATTAAAAATAAAAACAGGCCAGGTTCAATGACTCATGGCTGTAATCCCAGCACTTTGAGAGGCCAAGGCAGGAAGATAACTTGAGGCCAGGAGTTCTAGACTAGCCTGGACATTGAGAGACCACCATCACTACAAAAAATAAAAAAAAACCCTCAGCTGAGGCCATGTCCCATGGCTCAGGCCTGTAATCCCAACATTTTGGGAGGCAAAGGTGGGAAGACTGCCTGAGGACGCGAGTTCGAGACAAGCCTGGGCAACATAGCAAGACCCCATCTCTACAAAATTAAAATAATTCTCACTTTCATGTGGATCTGCTTATTTTGTACCGTGCAATACTGGGAAGACATCATAATTAGCAAATATTATAAATACTTTTTTTTTTTGAGACAGGGTCTCATTTTGTAGCCCAGGCTGGAATGCAGTGACACTGTCTCAGCTCACTGAAACCTCCGCCTCCTGGGTTCAAGCGATTCTCCTGCCTCAGCCTCCTGAGTAGCTGAAGTTACAGGCACGTACCACCACAGCAGCTAATTTTGTATTTTTAGTAGAGATGAGGTTTCACCATGTTGGCCAGGCTGGTCTCAAACTCCTGACCTCAAGTGATCCTCCCTCCCAGGCCTCCCAAAGTGCTGGGATTACAGGCGTGAGCCAATGTACCCGACATTTTAAATGATTTCTAAAAAATGGTTTTGAAACAAGGTCTCCCTCTGTCACCCAGGCTAGAGTGCAGTGGCACAATCATAGCTCACTACAGCCTCAAACTCCTGGGCAAGAAATCCTCCCACATCAGCCTCCAATGTAGTGGGACTACAGGTACGCACCATGGCTGCCTAATTTTTTTTTTTTTTTTTTTTTTTTTTTTGAGATGGAGTCTCAATCTGTTGCCCAGGCTGGAGTGCAGCAGCGCAATCTCCGCTCACTGCAACCGCCGCCTCCTGGGTTCAAGCGATTTTCCTGCCTCAGCCTCCCAAGTAGCTGGGACTACAGGCACATCCCACCAAGCCTGGCTAATTCTTTGTATTTTTAGTAGAGATGGGGTTTCATGGTGTTAGCCAAGATGGTCTCGATCTCCTGACCACGTGATCCGCCTGCCTCAGCCTCCCAAAGTGCTGAGATTACAGGTGTAAGCCACCACGCCCAGCTGGCTGCCTAATTTTTAAAACTTTTTTGTAGAGACGAGGTCTTGCTATGTTGCCCAGGCTGTTCTTGAACTCCTGGCATCAAGGAATTAAAATATTTTAAACTATTTAATTATCCTCATCCTTTAAATTTTCCTATTTCTGTATGTTTTATAACATATATCAGTATACATTAGTACATGATATTCTACTGTAACCATATATATATATAATACAGACTAAGAGCTTATCTTTTCTTTTACTGTTTATTTAGGTGACATAGTCAATAAAGCTTGGAGACCACTAACCTGGAGTCAGCTCAGAAGTCCTGAAGCCCTCTTCCCAGTCCCCTATTCACTGTCCCAAGATGACCAAAGCCAAAGGTGAGCCCTTGGCCCAGTAGGATCAGAGAAAATGGAGGCAGTGAGGAGGGAGCCTGGCTTCCCGCCCCTCCCCAAGCTGCACAGAGGGCCTACCTGATTGTGCCATCGGATGACATTTCCAAATCCCCCTGTCCCAAGGCGCTCTTTCATTTCCCAGGCCCCACATGTCTGGGTTGTCAGGGAAGGTGACCAGCTCATACTGATGTCGTGCTAACTCTGTAAGCAATTTGGGATGGGGAAAAAAGGTTAGGATTAAGAAAAAAAAATGGAGCTCAAAGAGATGGAGAAGGCAAGAGATACCACTGCTCTTGAATGGGAGAGAAGAAAAATACAACTGGTTTTTTACTTTGTAAAGAAACCAATGTGTTTGGTTTGTCCAAACTTTGTGGCAAACTTTTGTCCCTCTCACCCTCCCCCATCCGGTTGCTGTGGCATCAGGCAGGGAAGAAAGTCACCGAGGGAGGCGATGTCCACGCCCTTGCCCCAGCGAGGGGATCCCCAGCTGACTCCACCAGGGGCGCCCGGGCCTGCCCGCCTTCTGCCCGAGGTAGCAGGGACAGAACCTACTTCTGAGCGTCCCCTCGGTCACGTGTTTCTTTACAACGTTCCCATAAATCGCAGGTTTCCCTCAAAGCCACCCACCCCCAAGAAGCCATCCCAGCCAGGGCTGTTTCTCCCAGCTTCCCGAACTCCAATCCGCACGAGTGAAACGCTCCCCAGTCCGCAAGCTGCGACTTTCCAGCGGCACAGAGGGGTCTTCTGGGCCTTGCAGGCAGCGGAGCGGCGGGGCCTGCAGGTGGTACCCGGCCCGCACCCGCAAGGGGGACTCACCTGTAGGCAGGGACGCGGGGCAGGGGGAGGGCTCCCCGGGGCGGGGGAGGCGGGGCTGGGGCGGCCGAACCCTGGGCTCTGATACCCCTCTGAAAACATTAAAAAGCGGGAATCTTAACGCGGGCAGCGCGGCGCGACTTCCTCAAACACTTCCTGCTCTGACATCACTGAGCACGTGGGCCGCGGCCGCTCTTAAAGTGGCCGCGAGGGGCGTGAGGCTGACCAGGTCCGGATGCTGCGAGCGCCGCGGGCCAGGTGGGCCTGTCCCGGGACCCGCAACTGGGCGACTTCCCGGGGGCGGGGGTGGCGTGTGGCCTCTAGAATAAACTGAGGGAAAGTGGACAGACCGTGCTCACCGATTTAAAAGAACAGCCCTGAAATGACCCCCGTTACGCCCTGTTCTCTTTAGACAAGTGACTTCCACCTGGAGCCGTTTCTGGGCCCAGGCATGGGGATTTCCTCACCCGGCCGCTTAGGCTTTCACCTCGGTGGAATTTCCCGCGCCCCTGCTGGGATGATTTAGGGACTGTTAGCTAGAACTGCCCTTGCCGCCCGCCCTACTGCGGGCGCTCCCCTGTCTGTGGGGGGTGCTTGGCTGGGTGTGGAGAAGGATCAATCACAGCTGACTCCTCAGAGGTGACAGCCCCCGCCCCCTTAAAAACAAGAAAAGACCTAGAAGTGTGAAGCCAAACTGCAGCCCCACCCCCAGTGACAGGAGCAACCCGCGAGGCGCACAGCCTAAGGTTCATCGTTCATCTCCTTCTGCTTGGAGTCAGAACGTCCTCCCTGCTGAGTTCCTCCGTTTTGTGGGATTACATTAGTGGACAAAGGAGGTGTGTGTGTGTGTTGCTATATTTTATTCAAGCAGGAAAAAACTACCAAAGGAACCTGAAGATGATAATAATAGCTCACATCTATAGAGTGCTTACGCAGTGCAGGGCTCTGTTCTAAATCTCTGAACTTAGATTTCCTTACTCAATCCTCAGGGCAACCCTGTAAATTGGACAATACTGCATCATCATTATTATTATTATTATTGTTGTTATTATTATTTCGCTCTGTCACCCAGGCTGGAGTGCAGTGGTGTGATCACAGCTCACTGCAGCCTCCAACTCTTGTGCTCAAATGATTCTCCTGACTACAGGTGCATGGCCGCCATACCTGGTGGCGGGGGTCTCACTCACTGAGTTGCCCAGGCTAGTCTCCAACTCCTGGGCTCAAGGGATCCAGCCGCCTGGACCTCCCAAAGTGTTGGAATTACAGGTATGAGCCACCGCACCTGGTCTGCATTATTATTATTTCCGAGGCACAGGGCTGCTACGTAGATGAACTGATACTCAAACCCTAGCAACTGGTTCCCGGGTTCTTAATGGGTGGTTAAAAGTAGCATGTTAAGTTCAGAGGGAGGCAAACTGGATTTTGAATTCAGATACTGCTGTTGACTACCTCTGAGGCACTGGGGCTGGTTTGTTAAACACTCTGAGCATCTATTTCCTCTTTTAAAATTTAGGCAGTATTAGGTTGAATTGCATTTAATTGTCATTTTTTGGAAATTGAAAACAGCCAAAACATCAGTGACAAAGATCAGCAGTTTCATCTGCTTCACTGTAATAGCAGGGGGACAGGCGGGCTCATAGAAAGTCATAGAAAGAAGGCCACCCCAGAGTTGTTGTGAGGGACAAATGAGATATTGATAGCAGCAGTGCATGACAGCCCTGGAGTTGAAGTTAACTCAGGGACAGATCTCAACCCAAACATAGGGGTCAGTGGTGTCCAGGGCTGTGCTAGGCAGGCTGGCTGCTCTGTTTCTTTTCCCTCCCCCTCCCC